ACGTTTCCCTGAGTATAGAAGGTCGGGAGAATGATATCTTGTTAATAGTACTGATATGTGCATGTTTGTAAAAATTGTAACCACTTTTTGCAAACATTCATTTTTCACAATACGTCATTTTAAAAGGCAACACGTGAAAACTTAAAACAATGTTCGTAATAAATCAACGATTCACCCTAGTTAATACGCAGGCTTTATATCATCATGTGATAGCAAATATCAACAACTCAAACAAAACAAAGGGTTTGATAGAATAGTTATAGCTAACAAAATATATTGTACCATAACTAAATGAGTGACCATCACACAAATGAATGAAAACGTCCATGCATTCAAATTACAGGTGCATGACACGCTAACATGGTGTGATTATAAAATCAACTTATCTTAATCACTCCCGTCATTCCGGCCGGATACTAGCACGCAGGGGGTCTTAATGTGGGAGGAAACTGGAGTACCCGGAGAAAACCCGGGTTATGCTATGCGGGTGGGCATTTTCCACGAAGACGGGCCAGCGGAAACGTTTTTTTTACAGCAAGGAAAGAATGTCAAGCAGAAACCGGATGAAACGGACAATAGACAAGCTGAAGGTGTGTGAATAGTGAACAGCATATCACAAGCTCCGTCTAAGTAGAAAATGAAAAAACAAATAATATTATGCAATAAAACTTGGTAGCAGTGTCGGATAGGTTTCGAAAATTATTTCTCGTTCTCCTCTTTGTCCCCTCTCTTAACTATCATTCTGTCTTGTCATATATTTTTGCATTCCTAAAAAGTATATTGAAGAAGCTCTAACGTTGCGTGATATGTATTTTAATCCCATGCTTGTTGTCGAAGAGGACTTAAATACGTTTATAAAACTTGTGTCCGATGATTCGTTTGCAAAATATGTTTATTTGCAATAAAATATGCTAAATCAAACCCAGATTTTAATGTTGTATTATAATAGAAGTATATATACCCATATCCTATTAGTATGTCCAGCACGTGTGATTCAAACGATAATACAGATTAAGGGATAACAATTATATAAAGATTGGTAGTTTTGTCATCATCAAGATATTTTGTTATTCAGGAAATGTTCATAATGATCGACTATCAAAATTACAATAAACAAATAGTCTATGCATGCATTCTGGATCGAAGTTGTCAAAATTAATCAAAGAATTATGACACACTATGTGATAATTACATGTACAGCATATATGGTTTAACAACAATAACTTATAAAAAAAGGACAAGCATGATTTCATTTCATTGAAAATCTAATAACCCATTAAAAATAATTTTACGACATATAAATCGATTTTAAATTGAACACCGGTATCTTTTTTTATACATTGGGAATTGGTAAGCATAAAATCAGAATCTTGTAATTTACGTAACTTTTTAAAAACGATATAAACACCTCGAAAAAGAAAAGTTACATAAACTACTGATGACCTAATCACCCTTCCAGGCAAGATTACACGGCCATATACAAATACTGGGAGATTCCACTGTAACAGAAAATGGGTAACAGGCTTCTAGGAAATGTTACGAAACATCCGCCAAACCCTAATATGTAGTAATTATCTTGTTATCACTTCATTCATGGTATGGCATTGAGATAACATCTGACCTTCCTTCCGGACTGCTCAAGGTCAGATGTCATGTAAGGATCGAAGTGGCCTGGTAGGGTTACATAAGCAGGGACTCCAGTTGTGTAACCGTGTACTCACATCCTAGAATAAAGGAATTTCCCAGAAAGCATTGTGCGGGGTTTCAGATAATCTGTTTTAACCACAGAAATACAGCAGAGGTAGTGTTGTGAAAAAAATTACAAAACGCTGACATAAAATCATATCTAAATTTTACACTGACGAAAAAGAAAAAAACTTTGAACAATAATAAAACTATATATAGATACATTAGATTTGAATAACCAGGCATTGTACAAAAATTCCAACAAGTTCACTTGTAGATTTTTTATCATCAATAATATTAGAAAATATAATGTACATGTACATATATACACAGATCTTAATATAAGTCCGTGATATCAGAGACGTTATATATACGTCTCTGGTGATATATAGTACAGAGAATCATTTTCGCAAGTAAAACCTGTGTTCACACGCCAGTAATACAAGGTCTAATTATCACTGTTGTTTGATGACTCCCTACGGGTTCTGCTGTCAACACTCTCCCCTGTTTAATTTACATTGCAGTCAGCCTCCGTCCATGTGGCTGACACCATCTCTCCAGAGGTCTTTGTCCCACCAGAGTTGGTGACTCGGCCTCCCTACAATTATTAGAGATGAGAACCGGTCTCCCTGCTATAAGTTGATTCAGCCATTTCTCCCTCATTATTGGATTTAGCCGGCTTCCACACACCATAATTACTGGAATTAGCTTCAGGGCAATTAGGACTACTCTATGCTTTATCCAGTTCTAGCGCTATGCTTTATGGATCTCGTTTGAATTACATTTCTAACACTGTGGCCTAGAAAGTGGATAAATGAAAATAATTAAAGTTAATAGATAGCCATTCACACAAGCAAGTTACAAGCAAAAACTATAGCCCAGACCTTATAGATATTTATAAGAAGCAGTTCGAAGATTGTTACGTATTTGACCCAAATGACCTTGAAAGTGGGTCAAGGTCAATGTTTCGATATTTTTATTAGAGACCATATAATATAGGTATGTGAAAGTGGTGGTTTATTGTCTATTAACACATACATTTTAACGACCTTCAAGGTATGTCAAGGTCAGTTGTTTGAAACAAACTTGATTGCCCTTCAACACAATAAGTTACAGGTCATGGATTTCAACCAAACAAGCTACAGGTCATGGATTTCAATCAAACAAGCTACAGGTCATGGATTTCAACCCAACATGCTACAGGTCATGTATTTCAACCAAACAAGCTACAGGTCATGGATTTCAATCAAACAAGCTACAGGTCATGGATTTCAACCCAACATGCTACAGGTCAGGTATTTCAACCAAACAAGCTACAGGTCATGGATTTCAACCCAACAAGCTACAGGTTATGGGTTTCAACCCAACAAGCTACAGGTTATGGATTTCAACCCAACATGCTACAGGTCATGTATCTCAACCAAACAAGCTACAGGTCATGGATTTCAACCCAACAAGCTCCAGGTCATGGATTTCAACCAAACAAGCTACAGGTCATGGATTTCAACCCAACAAGCTCCAGGTCATGGATTTCAACCAAACAAGCTACAGGTCATTGATTTCAATCAAACAAGCTACAGGTCATGGATTTCAACAAAACAAGAAAATGTCATAGTTTAACATGATTTTATTTCTTCATAGAAGTTATGTCATCTTTGACGTGTTCAATAATGCATAAATAGTAAATATCACAGTTTCATGGCTTAAAGTTTTACTTACTGGAATGAAAATATACATAACATTTACTGGAGTACATAAGGACGGAAAATTTGAACTCAGAAAGAAAAAAATTCATACAAATGTTTGTAATGATTGTAAGCACTCTTGTTATCATGCACTTATTGAAAAAATTCAACATCGATAATCAATTCTTAAAATGGTCATAATGTTTATAAAAACTTAACATTTTCCCATTTAAATGAAGGCTTTCAAACAAAATATAACATATTTAATTAACTCTCCACGATAGTGTACATAAAACAGAAGCTATCATATTATATCTTAAACAACAAATGAATACAAATGAAAAGATTCCTCCTTTCAAATAAAATATAAACCTCCAGAAATAAAATGTGAAATAAAGGTTGGTTATTTTGGCAACACCAAATTGGTATCAAACATCCAACAAATTTATTAGAATATCGTTTTAAAAAAATGATGTAAAATATAGCTAAATTTTCTTTATACAAATGTACATAATTAATAAATATTAAACAAAAATTGCATACACTGCAGGCCAACTTTGTCAATATTCTTCAAAGAATTCTGGCAATTCTTTTGGTAATTGGCCTTATTGCATACACATATTTTAAACCTGATTAAATAATTCAAGAAGAATTATTTAAGGACAAATTATCCCACTATTTGGTCTAAATATACAAAATTTTATTCAATTATAGATTAAATGCCACCAAATTGAAATCTTATAATTACATAACCTTTACTCAATTTGGTGACATTTCGACAATAAGGAACAAAATACAAGTAACATAAATCCTTGATAACCTATCCTCCCTTTTCAGCAAGATTATTTGACCATACACAGATACTGGGAGAGTCCATTATAACAATAACGGGTAATAGGTTTCTAAGAAAGGTTATGAAACACCTGTCAAACCTGATTATCAATCAACTTGTTGTATTTCACTCGTAATCACTCATGCATATCCACACCAAAGATCATAACACCTTCACTTCTCTCATAAATATTCCATTCATTCAATTTTCTTTATACTTAATAAATAGTGTCAGGGAATTGAAATGAGTCAGAGGTCATGTATGGAGTTGCCTCACACCTGACCTCTGTGGGGCCAGTTACACAAGCAGGGACTCTAGTTGTGTAACTGAGCACCCTAATCCTAGCCTAAAGGGCTCTTCCCCAGAGCCATTGTTAGGGACTTCTGATAGATTTATCATTAGGACAACAAAAACTACAGTCACCTGAGATGACCCCAGCCAGCTTGTTGTATAAGCCAGTGTTATGTAAGAGGCTTTTTATACATTTATGTAAGGTGGAAAAAATGAAAACATTGAAACCACCTTGTTGTATAAGCCAGTGTTATGTAAGAGGCTTTTTATACATTTATGTAGATGGAAAAAAAAAAGAAAAATTGAAACCTCCTTGTCGTATAAGCCAGCGGTATGTAAGAGGCTTTTAAGACATTTATGTAAGGTGCAAAAAACGAAAAAAAAACAAAAAATACCAATCATTTCTGCATAGTGAAAATAAATGAAAAGATGCACATTAATTCTGTTTTTATCAAAAAGAAAAACGTTACATAATTATTTTTTTTACAAAATCATGATTTTTTTTAAAATATATAATTTGGATTTTTGGCAATGTATATACAGTAATAAAGTGATAAAAGCTCCAGGATCTGTGTTTTTTTTTTTTTTTTTAGCATCAATCAGACATGCTGCACCATAAAAATACACTTAGATGTTCACAAAGTATATGTATAATATATCCTGTATGTACAGCCAAAGAATTATGTTCACACCTTAAACTTGTGTTCACACACCAGTAATGCAAGGTCTTATGATCACTGTTGTTTGATGACTCCCTAAGGGTTCTGCTGTCAACACTCTCCCCTGTTTAATTTACATTGCAGTCAGCCTCCGTCCCTGTGGCTGACAACATCTCTCCAAAGGTCTTTGTCCTACCAGAGTTGGTGACCAAGCCTCCTTGCAATTTAAGATGGTTGCCTGCCTCCCGACCATTAGAGATGGTAGCCAGCCTTCCTGCCATTAGAGATGGTAGCCAGCCTCCCCCTGCCATAAGAGATGGTAGCCAGCCTCCCTGCCATTAGTTAGTTCAGCCAGTCTCTCTTCCTCTACCTGATTTATCTAGTGCACCCTTTCAGTCACAGATACATACATACACCTTCTCTATTACATACAGCACACCTATACTGACAGCCATCCTCCCACACACAGTTTCCACGGTAACCGATGGCTCTATATCCATTTTCCTGCTGCATTGTAGATGAAAGACTGTTTCCCATTGCCAACAGGTCGATAGTGGGCTGTAATAAACCAAACAGTGGCCATTAATCTAAATCAGACATGCCAATCTAACCAGCATCTAATCTCTTATTACATCCTTTAATGTCAATCTTAATTTGATAAAATTTCTAGCTTCAAAATTAATTTGTATGTAATAAACACGATATCAATGAGTAAAATACAAATGAAATTTAATTAAGTTTGATCAGTAAAGCGAAATCAAAAGAACTAAGGAATCTATTAAATTACTGGCATTTTGATTATGTCAACATTGTGCATCAGTGATGATGACATTATTGATTAAGTTAACAAAATGTTTCAATGATAATTATGACAGCGTGATTCTGTCAATATAATGTTTTTTAGTAAAAGATAATTAAGTCTGTCAACATAATGTTTCAATGACAACATGGATTCTGTCAACATGTTTCAACGACATTAATTGTTTACATTGTGTTTTAATGATGATGACAGCCTTAATTCTGTCAATAACAGCGACAACATTGATGCTGTCAACAGAAACTTTATTTGGTTTATTACAGATACGATTGGGGAAACAATAGATTCAATTTATCAGACCGGTATCAATTCTTGTGATGCATTATCAACTGTTGTGTTAATTAGAAACCCATTACAACAACCAGCATTGTGGCAGGTTGAGAGCAAACCTGTCAATCCTACCTGGCAGCCTTTAAATATAATTACAGCAAACATGCTGGAATGCAAACGTATAAATCCTTATACTGCACACAAACGCTGTTGCCATGCATGTTCATATTGATGTGTTTGTGATACAGATTCACAAACCTCCCCACAGAGCTGTGAACATTAAGGTTGTAAGTGGAGGGTCAAAAACCTCCCAACAGAGCTGTGAACATTAAGGTTGTAAGTGGAGGGTCACAAACCTCCCCACAGAGCTGTTAACATTAAGGTCGTAAGTGGAGGGTCACAAACCTCCCCACAGAGCTGTGAACATTAAGGTTGTAAGTGGAGGGTCAAAAACCTCCCAACAGAGCTGTGAACATTAAGGTTGTAAGGGGAGGATCACAAACCTCCCCACAGAGCTGTGAACATTAAGGTTGTGGATGAAGATATGAGTGGGGGCTCAAAAACTTCCCCATGGAGCTGTAAACATGTAAGCCGATGACATCAAGCTCCTCCCTGGTGTATTGACACTGATGAATACTGACATTGTATTGACATTAGGAATGATTATGGGAAATCAGTGTCTCCCAATGCTTCCCATAGAGCTGTTGAGCTGTGGACATTTAGGGTCTGAGTGAAGCCTCATAAACCTCCCATAGAATGTTAAGGAGCCTTAATGAGGGCTTACAAATTCTCCCACAGCGGTGTGGACATTTAGGGTCTGAGTGGAGCCTAATAAACCTCACATAGAATGTTAAGGAGCCTTAATGAGGGCTTACAAATTCTCCCACAGAGGTGTGGACATTTAGGGTCTGAGTGAAGCCTCATAAACCTCCCATAGAATGTTAAGGAGCCTTAATGAGGGCTTACAAATTCTCCCACAGCGGTGTGGACATTTAGGGTCTGAGTGGAGCCTAATAAACCTCACATAGAATGTTAAGGAGCCTTAATGAGGGCTTACAAATTCTCCCACAGCGGTGTGGACATTTAGGGTCTGAGTGAAGCCTCATAAACCTCACATAGAATGTTAAGGAGCCTTAATGAGGGCTTACAAATTCTCCCACAGAGGTGTGGACATTTAGGGTCTGAGTGAAGCCTAATAAACCACACATAGAATGTTAAGGAGCCTTAATGAGGGTTTACAAATTCTCCCACAGAAGTGTTGACATTTAGGGTCTGAGTGAAGCCTCATTAACCTCCAATAGAATGTTAAGGAGCCTTAATGAGGGCTTACAAATTCTCCCACAGCGGTGTGGTCATTTAGGGTCTGAGTGAAGCCTCATTAACCTCCAATAGAATGTTAAGGAGCCTTAATGAGGGCTTACAAATTCTCCCACAGTGGTGTGGACATTAAGGGTCTGAGTGGAGCCTAATAAACCTCACATAGAATGTTAAGGAGCCTTAATGAGGTCTTACAAATTCTCCCACAGCGTTGTGGACATTTAGGGTCTGAGGGAAGCCTCATTAAACTCCCATAGAAGGTTAAGGAGCCTTAATGAGGGTTTACAAATTCTCCCACAGCGTTGTGGACATTTAGGGTCTGAGTGAGGCCTCATTAACCTCCCATAGACTGTTAAGGAGCCTTAATGAAGGCTTACAAATTCTCCCACAGCAGTGTGGACATTTAGGGTCTGAGGGAAGCCTCATTAAACTCCCATAGAAGGTTAAGGAGCCTTAATGAGGGCTTACAAATTCTCCCACAGCGGTGTGGACATTTCGAATGAAAGCGGAGGTTTGACTTTTGGCTTTTTTGCCTTGCGTAATAAGAGCGAAAAAGGGATTATACCATATTATTACTATGTACAGTTTGTTGTGTGCTTATTTTCACAGTCATGATACATTCGCTCACGTTACAGACAGCAAAAAAGTAGAAAGTGAAACGGCGGCAAAAATGTCCCAGTACACAGTATGTTAATGGTATATTACATAGTACTCATCTACACTCATCAGGGGAGATAATTACCTGGCCCAGGCTGTTCCATGCTATGACCGGCTCCATTCCACCTGCTACACGTAGATACAAAGGCAGCACTGGACATATAGTGTTTGGGGGGCCCTTCATAATCCACCACTTCGTAGCTCCCAGGGCCAGGTAGGGGAGGGGTGGAGGGCAGGGGCATCGCAGGGGCTGATATACACAGATAATGCTTCCTCCTAAAACAGTCAAATACCAGTGGTCAGTTATAAGTTTACTGAAATGATACAGGATAATGTAAGTTCCGATCGATTCTTAAATAAAGAGATAACCTCAATTCATTATAGCTGTTATTCATTTTTGTTGTTGTGATATCAAACACTGGTGTAGTTATAAGGATCAGCCAGACACTCCAGTACTTACGGGAACAGTTGTTTCTTTGCTGGGTCTACTTCCTCTCCTGGTCTATAGGCACCCGGACCCGGCACCTGTGTGATAACAATGGTATGCTTTAGATAGCAAACTCAGTGTGATTATTAGAGTTCATCCTATGTAGGACATTGATATTCTACCGAGGGTGTAGAACTGGGGCAGTACAGAAACTCTGCCGAGGGTGTAAAACTGGGGCAGTACAGAGACTCTGCTGAGGAGGAAAAACTGGGGCAGTACAGAAACTCTACCGAGGGGGTAGAACTGGGGCAGTACAGAGACTCTGCTGAGGGGGTAGAACTGGGGCAGTACAGAGACTCTGCTGATGGGGTAAAACTGGGGCAGTACAGAGACTCTACCGAGGGTGTAGAACTGGGGCAGTACAGAGACTCTGCTGAGGGGGAAAAACTGGGGCAGTACAGACACTCTGCTGAGGGTGTAGAACTGGGGCAGTACAGAGACTCTACCGAGGGTGTAGACCTGGGTCAGTACAGAGACTCTACCGAGGGGGTAGAACTGGGGCAGTACAGAGACTCTACCGAGGGGGTAGAACTCGGGCAGTACAGACACTCTGCTGAGGCTATGAGCCCCAATATAGCACCTGAAGGTAGAATATTCATATCCCACATACCTACGTAATGATGGACCCTTTTCCTCCCACCTCTCAACCAAAATTTTGGCCATATTTGAAATGAGCAAAACAAAGTTTGGTATTATGCTTCAAGTTCCATGCAAGACCTTCAAAGCATGCCTGTACAATAGGTGTTACGTTTTTGAGGTGTTGTCATATTCTGATGACAAGATTACTGCAGTTTGTCAAACAATACTTCGATGCATTTTGAATTGTGATGTCATGCTAAACTTATGTCATCTGATTATGATGTCTACATAGTACAGGTCACTGAGTGCACCTATGAGGGATACACATATCTAGGTGGTAAAAAACAGTGCTTTCCTTCAGATAGAAACGTCTGTGTTATATCAGTGAACTGGAGTACTTCAGAGAGAAAAATCAACAGTAAAACTAGAATAAAGGTACCATAAAATTTTGTCTCATTTGACTTTCACAGTGTATTTGCTAATGTTCAATCATAATTGACTGATACACCACATAATCAAATTTTCGATATAAGAATTTTATTTAAAACATAATTATGATACAATTTTAGATGAAAGAATCTTATTACACCACATCATAAAATGTTAGATGTTGATTGGATAACCATTGCACAGTGCCTTGTCATTAAAACTCTTGGTGTGTAAGAGTAACCTCCCCTGTAAGTGCTTTGTTTCTCTGATTACCAGACAGACAACAACAAATGCAATGTCTGAAAATGTGGGTGGCGCAACCACGATGAGAAAAGCTTTTGACTGCATCAATTTAACTTAAGGAATTTCCTTCCAAAATTAAACTAGCTTGTGTAGATAATTTTTTTCTTACTTTTAAATTACTCAAACTTATAATATGTGCTGAAACATTTGTTATCTACTACTGAAGATAACTTACAAGTATGGTTTTCGCTAAGAGTACTAGACTGCTTTTTATTTTATTGAATTAACTGTTCTATTTAATATTTTTAAGAAAATTAAATCAAACTTCATCTATTTTGAAATAAACTAATCATGAAATAGTTTTATCAACTTAATCAAACACTCATGTTGGCCCGGATTGAAGCAGGCAGGGGGTCTTAATATGGAAGGAAATTGTATTCAGTCTTTTATTCTCTGTCCCTTTAAGAATATTTACCGGAGCTGGTTCTGCGTGCATCTGTCGCTTGGTCTTTGACTTGAAACTAGAGAGAGGAACTTTTGCACTGTCATGGAGAAGGTCATCCTTTACATCATAATGCCCTGTACAGTGAAAAGAAAAATGGTCAACAGGTGTAACTTATCAAAATCTAAATAATTTTCCACATTCATTACTCAATGACATGAATCGTTCAAGTTCACAGTTATTGGTCTAGTTCTTTTTACTTCAATTGGATAAGTTTCGTACCTATTTAATTTGAACTGTTGTGCACATGTGGCACTTGACACAAATTTCTCTATATCAAAGTTTAGATCTAGCTAAGTACTGAACACATTCATTATGTTACTGGTACTGTTTTAGTCGCTTTTCATACTAACATGAGGAAGGGTTTTAGTCACTTATCTTACCTGGAGCAGGGTTTCGAGCCTGGTCATCCAGTTTTATCACTTCTCTTTTGGTTTGTGATTTAAATCCTGCATTAGCGGTCACATTGTTTGCCTTTCCATATTTAACTTTTAATATCTGAAAAACAAAAGTGTTGTTTACAGAATTTACAGAGAGCTCCTATATATTTTTAAATAAGGTACATGTCCCTGGTTGGAATCAAATCCTGGGCCGTTTACGTTCAAACGGTCAAACCGGTCGAACCAATGTTGTTCGTTTATTAAAAAAGGTTGGACCTAGTAATCTGATGCTGCTTTCAGGCGAGCCTTGACAAAGCCTTGCAAGGCCTGCATAAACATTTGCAGGTCGACCAGGATTTATACCCGAAATTTTTACATTTATAAACGGTCAAACCAGTTGTTCCGCAAAAACAAACAGGCCCAAGGTTAACAGCTATCAGAGTATCCTCTCTTTCTATTTCTTTGCACATAACTTGTCAAAGTTGTGACAGTTGTTTATCATATTCATTTAATTTTCAAATTTCAAATAGACTTCATGTTTACTAAATTTCTTTTTGAAGTATAAATTACATCACAACAGTTTAGATTAATAAAATTGTTAACAATTGTCATGATGTCACGCATTTGGTGACGGACTATTATGATGTCATACTTTATTTCACGAGGTCAAAATACCAGGTCAACAATAAAGTTCTATCACAATCAATACAATTGTTTATTATACATATTTGCATGTTATGGGTATAAATAATCAATGGTTAGCTTTTTTTGAGTAACACATGGTCTGAATGTGAACACTTCCCTCACACAATGACTTACATCTAACAATGGGAATTGGAAGGGATTTTCAGAATCAATTAATTGGAATAATATAGGATGACCTGAATTTTAATGACAAATTGACACACTTTTGTGATTCTCTCTGAACTTAATAACCCATCATACATAATGTATAAAGACAAAAGCATTGGAGCCAATACATTAGCTTATTTCTATTCACACATTCCTTTAAATATAATCTGCATGCAGCAGACCTTATGGCGAGATTTTTTTTGTGTTTAGAGGACTATGTTTGATACTTTTAATCCAAAATATGACCACACTCTGGCCGAGCTAGCACTGAGGTGGTTGTGCAATTCATTGTCTTCCATTTTGAACAGAATATCATATACTGGTCACTCAGGTGCTATTCTGTGTCATTCATGTGCTATTCTGGGTCACTCAGGTGCTTTAATTACATCAAGACTTGCATTATAAAGTAATCCATCTATGTGACTTAAGTGGCTGATGAAAATACAGTAAAATGCTACCTAAATTTCACAATCAATTATGATTTTGTATAACTGATGGTAGATTGTTTCCAATCAATTAGTTTTCGACTATGATTGATGATTGGCCCACCACTACTTACATCGTACTGATTAGGGCCCGGTCGAACCTCTGTTTTGTTTGAGGTCTGGGCTATCGGTTTGTGGAATGCACTGGTACATGTTGCCTGGTTGTAATCCCGCTGAGTACGGAGCATGCTTGGCAGACCATAGATACCTGGGCCTGGGGCACTGGTCAGCTGGTACTTCAGACCTTTCTTGGACTAAAAGTTAGCATAATATAATATAGGTACAATGTAAAAACAGCTTTAAAAAATGCTAATATCATTATACCCTATTAGTATTAGACCAAAAAAAACAACAACTTGTGATCCGCTAATAAAGTCAGAACTCCTGCTCTGCAAAAATGTTTGTAAAAAAATGGCCTACTTGATTTTTTTTCTCAGGATAATAGCATAAACATAAGTTTATTTATTCTTTTCTTCAACTTAACTAGTAAGTAACTAACACTTCGATATTGTCATTATGTGTCAGTTAAATATTGCAGATAAAGTCTGACAGAAATGACAACTACCAGCAGTAACTACACTTATTCTTCTTTACATTGATAAGCTTTAAAATTTGTCATGAAATATACCCAGTATACTGCTTTAGGAAGTTGAGGTATGCGTAAACTTGTTTCCAAAGTAATTCAGCAACAACAATTTAACAAATCATACAAAACAATATCGTCATAAATTAATTTGGTCAGATTATATACCTTTGAGGCAAAACTTCCAGTTCCTTTCTTAGAAAATGAAGTAGAATTATTGTCCATTTTAACATGTCCAACATAACCACCTGGGCCTGGTGCCTCTGTCTGAAATCATAAATTATGACGTCATCTTGAAATCAATACTCTATATATATTGTTAAATTGATAAGATAGCCTGTTTTGCAAGCATCAATGATTGTTGTGTAAAAGATGATATTTTATCATATTTATCTTCACGCCATGTAAATTTATATGTTACATTAAAAATAAGACAAATTTTCAGATCTTGTGGTACAAACAGAAAACGCAGAATACCTTTTTTCCAGTGCTCTCTCTATATATATATTAAAATATCAAATGTATCACATACTTCTGTTTATAACTTGATAAATAAATCTTCGTACATATATGGAATTCTTGATATATTTAACTATGAATGTTAATCTGTATATATAAAACATGTCACCAGATTATTGTAAATTTGGGAATGCCAGGATTTATTAAAATTATTTCATTATTTCTGCAGAAATTGATACTAGAAACTTTGATTAATTATAACAAAATAAAACTGAATAACAAAGTTTTCATGGCAATTCAATAACAAGATCAAAATCATGTATGTCAACATTATATCCAATTTGATAAAAAAAATCAATATCTTAAATATGAACTATGTAAGTATATGTTGGTTGAATATTTTTTTTCAAATATCTACCATTAGGCTTTTACTGTTTAAAGAAATTGTATACCTTACCTATTTTTTTTTGTATTATCATCCTCAAAATGTTCAGAACATTTTTCTTTTTAAAGTTAACAAAATAACGATTGCATTCAATTCTATAAAAAAACAACAACTAGCTAACGCATATCCATATCAAAACATATTTCCTAAAAGATATTATTTTGATATTTAGTAACATTTTAAATGATGGTACTGTACTACATACAATAAATGCATCATATTTGAATCTTTTTGCTTTGGATAGAAATCCCCGCTTATCAGCATTGTCTGTTACAATAGTCTGGTATTTGCTGGGAATAGATGCTGTGGCCGCCACAATGCCATGCCCTGAAATATGGAGGAAACAAAAATGTGATAATAGTATTAGTTAATTTAATTTTATACCAGTAAAAGGGAAAAAGGAAATTGCAGCAGTCAGACTGGGATTTGACCCAGAACTCTCTGAACTCTAGACAGATGCTCTACTAATTGAGCTACCTGGTCGCTGACGATAGACCCAGTCTTGTTCTGCTACATAGAAACCTGGTGCACATAAAGCGAACAAGGTAGTGTACTAGACAAAACATTGTAGTGCACTATACAGTCTACAGTGTTAACTCTATGGTTTATACATTTGATAATATAAAACTAATCTTGAATACTGTTGCTTAGGCATCATAAAAAGAACCAGTATTGTGTTATTTTACAATCTTATAAAAATAGATATTTTCATGATATGACCGTTACATCTGAAGGTGATAAATAAACATCTGTATTTTAATAAGACTGCTGTTTTTTAAACAGATTATTATATGCCAACATACTTCAATATGCATAAAAACATCTTTACTGGGGGGTTACTGGGTATGGGTGAAAATCTCACAGCTCGGACATTTTACTAAAAATGAAACACTTATTTGTTTACAATTTTGTTAGGACATGTAGTAAAGACAAGGCGTACTAAATACGTTCTTAATAAAGTTATATCGTACCTACATCAGCACGAGACTTTGTCATTACATTGTCATACAAATAATTGAAGCCATTTGGAAGTAAAAAGGCAATCCAAAAAAGATAAACGATACGAATATCGATACATTCTCCATTACCATTCGTTAAAAACTGAACATTTGCATGACTATATGGTCATAACGCTTATTTTTTTCTAGATGTTGAGAATATTCATCGACCCATCAAAAAGTAAAGACCGTCTGTACCCTTGTGTAAATGTCCTGATGGATTTCTACTATGTATTCTCTTCACATAATCATCATCAACCACGCGGATGCTGTCAGCGGCGGCCATTTCTAAACTATGACGTTGTTTACATTATACAGGAAGTACTTCCGTGTAATATAGTTCGTTTAATTATTTAAGCATTTACGCTGCATGTATATATTTTTGATTGTAATAGGTGTTCAAAGCACTAATGTAATGCCAAGAGAATAAATTATACGTTAAGAATGATGTGTTCTACCAAATTATCTTAAGTGCGTAATAATTTATCTAAGAAATTTTTCGCGCAGGTTGCTATGCTGTTGAAAGTAGATTCATCCAAAATGAGGGAAAATTCGCTATATACTGAAATAAAAAGGCTTTTTAATATAAGGTCAACACAAGTATGATTAAGACTTTATCTTGGCGTCTGCTTAAAGAAAATTATTGCTTTCGTCACTGAAATGACTCATGCTCGTTAAAAGTTTTTTTTATCTTAAGTAAGTGTGATAGCGAAATCCTACTTTACCCAAAGGCGATTCCATTCTGACCAATGGCTGTACTTCTTATCGCTGATTGGTGTGTTTACAAACGAGCGCGATATTATGAAGGAGTTTCCCGTAAAAATTGTCATTAGCTCGTGAACTTGCAAACTGGTGCAGTCGTATTTTATTCATATTGAATTTTACATCGCTTTATTCTTCAAATCTTTTATAGCTCTATTTTACATCACTGATAAATATGTTGTCTGCAAACTCTCCAAGAACTACACAAGTATCAACTGCTGCTCTAATGAAGAAAATGCAAATTAACGACGAAAACAAGGTAAGTACTTGACGATGTTGGTGGAAATGGCGCGTCTTGTTTTGAGTTATGAAATTGTTTTAAATATAAGTGATAATTTAAACTAAACTAAACTTTGTTTAATTTCGTAAAATATGATTATTCGACAATATTGACCAGAAAGTATTTTGCTTTGAAAGTTCTTACGGTGCAACCAACAAAGAATGCCCGCCAAAACTATAAGCTGTGTTGTGTAACTAAAATCGGCGTTGTGTAACCAAAAATCGGCGCGCTCTCAATTCAAACGATATTTTCCATGAATAATTTGAACAAGATAAGAGATAAGTTATGTCTAAAGAATTAAAATATCGTATAACAGCATTGAAAGTTATCTCATTATTTGTTCTTGTGCGACGCTGAAAATCTGTATTTTTTAATACTAATAGTTTAAAAAGGGGGGAACTGCATACGTACACGCACAACCAGGAAATTTCTGAATAAAAAAAAAGGTATGAATCGTGTTTTGCAGTAAATTTAAACCCTGTTATAACTTGGAAGAAATGATCTAATTTTTGCACGCTTTGTACGTTTGGTGACTGGCGGGAACATGATTACGTATGCATCCATTGATCATTATAAATATCCATTATTAGATCATCATATTTTCAAGTTGATAGAGTTGCCTGCAAAAAAAGTATCCGCATGATATCTGAAAGTTCTTCTTGCAGATTCGACTCTGACCGTTCATTGTTTATTAAGACTTGTTTTAAAAATGTTTCTTTTAGGTACCAGATGTTCTCAAGTCCAAAGTGCTGGGAGACAGCCAAAAGCAGGTATGTTTTCAGCTCGTAATATTAGATATATATATCCTACTATAAAGTAAAATATTAAATGAATTCTTCGATGAAAAAACTTTATGATTTAGATGCTTTTTATGCCGTCTTAAAGTATGAATTTCATTTTTGAATCGTCAAAATCCAGACGTCTATAAACACCACTTGTTATCACTGATAGTTTTTAAATTATTTAAGTAATTAAGTAGCATTAGGTGAAATTTGCCGGGAAATATGAACGATGTGCTTTTACATGGATAATCGAATATCGAATTGCATCCATAAAATAATATTTGAATGTTTGTAGCTGTCGGATATATTGTTGAATAATGACTAACAAAATGTTTGACATTTTGCAGTAGAGTTCACCTACATGTACTTGGAATAAAGAGTGAAAATTACAGAAAAAGCATGCATGAATTCTGTACGCTATGGCATTGTCAATAGAACCACTTTTCTAGGTATTGTGTAAAACTGTTTAAATTAATTTGTTTTCGTTTTATTTTCTTCCAATTTTCACCGCATACATCAACTAAATAAACCTTTTCACTACTAGAACCTGCAGTCATTTTTACGAAATGGTGTCTAATTTAAAATTTGTTATTGTTTTTCAGAACATCATGACTAAAAAGCCAGTAAGCGAGGTGAGAAAATCCAACTGTTTGACCAAATGTATAATATAGCTAAAGCTTCAAATTTTCATTAGCAATGGTAAAACTACAAAAACTGAAAATTCATATTGTACTGGTGAATTGGGATATTTATATGAATGTTTTTTCACCAATTTAATGATTTTGAAACTACTCTTTCCAAATGCAGTTGTCAAAATTTACATGTAATAATTATATTTTATTTAACGATTACAGCCAGTCAAACAATTGGTCAAACCAGCACCAAGAAGGAAACAAATGAAAGAAGAGCCACTGCTGAAGGACAATCCACGTCGCTTTGTTGTATTTCCCATCAAGTACCACGACATTTGGAAGATGTACAAAAAGGCAGAAGCCTCCTTCTGGACTGCTGAGGAAGTAGATCTGTCCAAAGACATGAACCACTGGGAGAACCTGAAGGACGATGAAAAACATTTCATCTCGCATGTACTTGCATTCTTTGCTGCCAGTGATGGAATTGTCAATGAGAACTTGGTAGGTTTTCAATAGCTGAGCACCACATTCTTATATTTCCAAATTACTGTCTGTCAACATTTTGCAATATTTCCACAGAAACCAAATTGTTATATCTTGACCCTTAGGCGGCTACGCACGGCATATGCCGTTTTGAAAAGTCTGGTTGTCAGTGCTACGCACAGCATTTGCCGTTTCTCTGTCTGTAGGTTTTGATCGGTAGCCAGGAAGTGTAAGGTCGGGTTGTTGCTATACTAAACACGAACGCGTATAGTAGAAGGCTTCTGAGTGGTTGTTTTGTCATTACTTTCGATATTCCCGGCAGTGTACCCTATTTATGAACAAAAGATGTGCGAGGGAATTTCAAATTGAAAAAAAGTCACAAAAATGGCAGACGTGTAGATTGAAGGGATTAATATGATGGTAAATATTTATTCTCCATAGTCACCTACGATGATAATAATACTTCGGCGTAACATAATATGTAACTTTCCAATGAATGTTTTTGTGCCCTACGCAAACATGAAAATATCGGTGGACCGAGGCGCACATGTCGTCTGCAGGTGAGGCAGGATTGAACATTGACATCGATACGTTTTGAGCCGATTTATTTCTTCAAACTTTTTATTGATGATTTAATCATAAACAAGACCGTAGCTAAGATATATCTATATGCCGACTTTGACAGTAAATATATTGAACGACGACCTGAAACCTGTAGCAAATCACATGCAATTCTTGACGAAATCCTGACCTTTTACAGCGTCTTGTATCAAAAATGAAGTTTATAATCTGTTATCATTTGCCAATCACATTTGCGGACAAAAATAATTTCTCTTGCTTAAATCCGATTAATTCAAAGTTTCACCTTTTCTTACCGAAGCAACTTTAGAATTGAAAAGGTTAATATAAACTAGACAACAACGAACAATTTTCATATAACTTTTTTTCACATGACAAATATTTTTCAAGTTATGCAGATTTGAAAAATCAAGTAAACTAATAACTAATTCAGCAGTGGTGTCCCTTTACACAGAAATCAATGTAGCAGCCTAAGGGTTAAAAGTATTTTGAAATGTTTTGTACATTCGAATCCATGTTAATGTTTAAACCTAAATCCTTTACGCCTATGACTGTAGGACTAGGACTCCAAATAGTTTTTTAATATCTCATTTTGTTTGATTTGTAGGTGGAGAGATTCAGCAAAGAAGTTCAAGCAACAGAAGCAAGATGTTTCTACGGATTCCAAATAGCTATGGAGAACATTCACTCTGAAATGTACAGTTTACTTATCGACACATACATCAAGGACCCTGTTCAAAGGTAAGGCATATTGAATTTGGAACATTGGCTAACAGATTATTTGAGCAGAAAGATCTTTATTTTAATAGTACGGTCATCATAAGATAGAAAATGGTAAACATTCAACATTTCATCTGTTTTGATAAAAAAAAAACTAAAATTAAAAATGATATTAAAATAATTATCCAAAACTTTGTTGAAGAATGCAACACTAAATTGTTTTGATGTGACTTTTGAATTATTATTTTCTATATAGAGACTTCCTGTTCAATGCCATTGAGACCATGCCATGTGTCAAAAAGAAGGCTGATTGGGCCATCAACTGGATTGGGGACCAAGATTCCGACTTTGCTGAGAGAGTTATAGCTTTCGCTGCTGTAGAAGGGATTTTCTTCTCTGGTAGCTTTGCTGCCATATTCTGGCTGAAGAAGAGGGGAATTATGCCTGGTCTTACATTCAGCAACGAGTTAATAAGCAGGGATGAGGTAAGTTTATGTGAATGTTTATACAGTCGAAACAACTTTCTGACCGTTCAATTTTCCAAGTTTAAACTTTTTGCTAATTCCTGCTGAAGGATGTAGTTAAATGAATTATTAAAATAAATTACTAGAAGATTAAATAAAGAAAATTTGTAAATAATTGATATTGATATGTAAAAGTAAATATAATTTTGATGTATTTTTCAGGGTCTGCACTGCGACTTTGCCTGTCTCATGTTTGACCACCTTGCAAACAAACCAACACAAGAACGAGTATATGAGATTATTGACGATGCTGTAAAAATTGAGCAGGAATTCCTTACAGACGCTCTTCCAGTCAACTTGATTGGGATGAACTGTGCGTTGATGAGGCAATACATTGAGTTTGTGGCTGACCGACTACTGTTGGAGTTGAAGTGTGACAAGGTACATACCGATAGGTTTTATATTTGCTTATATAGCATCAATTTGCATATCGATATATTTTCTTTACTTATATGACAGAAATATATATGATCACTCAAGATATTCAAACAACCGTTTCATATTTCCCAATACTCGAATAAGAACTGATTTATCGAAAAATGCTTCTTAATTGAAAGCCTTTAATACTATAACAATGTAAGCAAAAGCCTTTTCAGAATTGAAATATTTAATTACCAAATGTCAAATATGCAAGAAATAGGTCTACCAGCCTTTTAAAAAAAGCCCTACTTAACACTTCGCATTTAAATTATTGTATGAGTACATTTTCAGTTTATTTAAGTGTTTGACAGCGTTTAACCTTGTCGGGTTTTTATCTCTCACCTTCACAATTACTTCTTTAATAAAAGTCCATGAATTTTCTATTTTCAGTTGTACAACGTTGAAAACCCATTTGACTTTATGGAGCAGATCTCATTGGAAGGAAAGACCAATTTCTTTGAGAAACGAGTTGGAGAATACCAGAAGATGGGAGTTATGAATGGTGGTTCATCAACGGGCCACTCCTTCTCACTAGACGAAGACTTCTAGAATAAATGTGATGTAATATTCATTGTGATCTCAATACCTCAAGCTATGAAACTGACCAGAACTTTAGTGCAATGAACAAGCCATATTGGTAAAAGACGTTTTACCAAAACAATTATTTTAATTTAATCAAATAATCCATTGTCATATGTCTGTTTCTATTGAAAATTTTATGTATATCTGTATGAATGAATTTTATGAGATTTTAAGTGTAATTTTAAGGTTGAAAGTGAATGTGTATTTTTAGACATGCAAGTTTATGAAGGCGAATGTTTTAGTTTATGAAAGTCAATGTTTTCAGTTTTTTATGATCATTTTAGTAACATCCTCATTTTATCTTTATAAGTTGTGAAATAAAATGATATTGATTTTTATTTTTGTTTGGCTGTTTCCTTTCCAAGTTGAATTGCAACTAGACTTTGATGTTAAAGCAGCATTTCTGTATTAAAAACTTGGCTGGAAGTATTATGGTATGGGGAGTGTCTGTCTGTCCAAACTTTGGTTCATTCAAACCTCGTATGCATGTACATAATACAAAGGATAAGGATGAAGTTTAGCAAAATCTTTGCATAATTAATTGCGATGTGTGCTCTGACCGCTTGACAGTTTTTGCACAAGAACTTTGTCAAATATGATTTGATTCTGATGAAACTTTCTATATATTTTTGGCATTTTGATTTCACCATTGACTGAGATTCCACGCTCGACGCAAATTCAAAGGGGTAGAGCAAATGCAATGTTGATGGAGGTCATAGCCAAACTACTGGGTTAGTTTCTTATCGTCCCAGGCGCGGTCGTCCGTGTGTAACGACCGCAAGACAGGGCGATTCGATTGTCCACTTGTGTAACATATTCAAAACTGCTGTAGAGACTGCGTCGCATACCTTAGGTACTCATGGCTGACCCATTAGTCCTCAAACTGCCAGGAACCGCTTGAGTACAGAGAGAATCATGATTTCTCGTAGACCTTATGTCAGGCCACCTCTGACACCACAGAGGCGGCAAGTTCATGTTGACTGGATGTGCAGACATGGCCCGAATGGGTTTGGGATGTGTCGATTGAGGTGTGTGATGTTCACCAACGAGTCTAGATTCTGTCTGTATCGCTCAGACGGAAGAAAAAAGATGCAGTGAGTGTTTCGCCGACGCATGCATGGTTGAACGCGATAGATTCAGTGGGGCTTCTGTGATGGTTTGGGGAGGCATCTCCCATGGAGTAAAGTCCCCCTTTGTGGTCCTGGATCAAAACCTCAATGCCGTTCGTATAGATACAGAGACCAGATCCTCCAACCACATGTCCTTCCACTTCTCGCAGCATTTTAACAAGAATGGAACAACATTCGCTTAAGGCGAATACATGTTCTCATGAATTCAATGCATAGGAGAATCCGTGCAGGGATTCGTGCAAAAGGTGCCCACACCAGGTACTGAAGTGTCATTTTGTTTTTCGCGGGTTTCCCACTTGAGTAACTACTGATGACACGAGTGACGTCGCACAGACTTTTCTTCTACAGTATTGTAAAGAGTAGACTTGTCCCTTCATATTGATCTAAAATTTTGTACAAATTTCCCAAAATTTCATAGGCTATTGATTGCATAATTTAATTGTGCGTTTCTTTTTTTGTTCAGTATATCTTTACTAATTAAATGGGAAGTGTAAACTCGACACTGAGGGAGTGTTGATTTTATCGGGGAAGGACAAATATTTGATTAGGTGAAAGTATGAGATAATACCAGAAATACAAGATTACGACAGGTTATACTTTAAATCACTTTATTGATATTCTGCTGACAAAGCAAGCAATATGGTAGAAACGACCAATCACATGTATCTTTAGGAAAGTCTCTTAAATACAAATGTATTTTAGGAAAGTACTTTTTGTGAGCATCACAAAAATTCAAGATCAAATATTTACTGAGTGAATGACATCAGACTGGACAATAGGTTGTAACTGAAATGATTTCAAACTAAACAAGTAAACATATGCACATCTCTGCTCGTCCATACTTTGTATTAAGACACCGATTGTGTAACTACAATCGTTTGGCTCAGTACGTACAAAGTTCATATCTTGGCTGAATTTAACACTAATTATAAACATTCTGTTTGTACCAGAAATAAATCATCATTTTTGCAATTTTGCCTCCAATTACAGGAATCAAATTTGAAATCCCTGATTACTAGTCAAATGTTTTACTGAATTAGCTAAATAGGTCTCGCTAGCCGAGTCGGAAATAAATTCTAGCATTTTTCCTACGGTGAAAGTTTTAAAATTCATCCCCAGAATTTCATTTTATGTAATAATCTGCAAAGAGAACAAATCTTGATGAACAGGTCACATTTTAGTGATCCAACTTGGCCTAACATGACATTCTAGTAAGCAAAACTCACCAACATGCGTCTCTTTCTTTTAAGCCTACTAGCCCATCAAACACCGCGATCCTCCAGAGGTTACGCTCACTTGCACTCTCTGCTGAATCGCCTAATTACTAGTGATAACATGATGAACTTCAGGAACACACTGCCAAATTTTTGAGGCACATTCCAAAGGCTATGTACCCGGTATGTACAGGCCTGAACAACTTTGTATTCAGATCTTTTATAGTGCTTTAATTTCATGGAGGCAAAACACTGAAGTTCAAGGTTTTGTAACCGAAACAAATACACAAAGATTTAATTCCGAGCAACATTAGCTATACAGTTTTTCAGAATGTCAACAAATTCTTTGTGTTATTTAATTTACAGTTTAGTTTTCTATTTGAGCGGTGAATACAAAGAAAGCCAAACCTACATGGAATTTACGGCTTTACAGTAATATGAGATGTATGAAAAAACTTAAATTCCAATCGTTTTGTTCGGGTGTCTTGGCCTGAATTATTTTGTGCAGGTTACTTAGATGGAACATGTGGCTGAATGATGTGGCTGAACCACTTCAACTACACAAATGAAAACAGCCATAATCTAATTTCCTGCACGCTCACTTCAGATCACTGAATTTATTTATTTATACAATACACATAACAATCAAATACATGTACCAAACAAAACACAACTACTTTATGATTTTGACTAGCATGAAGCACATTATGAGACAGTACAATTATCACAATAATCCGATTGTAATGCAATCTTGACCAATGAATACAAAATATATCACAATCTATCATCAGACAACACATCATTGAAAACCATGCATAACTGCCATAATCGAAAAACCAATTTCTCTGACAATTTGTGCACCTTTTATCTAAAATATAACGGTCAATGCATTTCATTAAAATGTGAGAATAATGCTTAAGGAAACATAAGATAAACTAGGAGCAAGAAGACAATGAATTCCGTTTTTTCCATTGTTATTTATAGTATAACCTTACAATATTTATAATGTCAACATATTGTGATCCTTTAATACATGTTTTATCAAGGTAAAGATACAATGAAATGCCTGATGATCAGGCACATGGAATATAAATTCACCAAACGTGCAAATGTTTTTTTTCTTGATTAACATTCAAATTTGTGAACAATCATAATTAACATTCAAATTTGTGAACAATCATAATTAACATTCAAATTTGTGAACAATCATAATTAACATTCAAATTTGTGAACAATCATTTATGTATTGTCAATAAATAAACTACCTTAAAACTCCCCCTCAAAATTTCAACAAAATTATATTACATGTTCTTTTAGGCTGGAATGTTCCAATATTGTTCCTCCTTTACTACACAGGAATGTTCCAATATTGTTCCTCCTTTACTACACAGGAATGTTCCAATATTGTTCCTCCTTTACTACACAGGAATGTTCCAATATTGTTCCTCCTTTACATAATTGTTAACTGGGTATTGGAACACGTATACATGCACCATGTAGAGGTGTATACGGTGCCATCTTCACAATATACAATAATAATTGTATAAAAATAGGAATATTGAGACAGTTTCAGTATAGAAGAATATTTGATACGTTAAAGTAAATATCAATTTATATACCGGGTATCCATGATATATTTATTAATACTGTTAAACAATAGTTGTGTTTACAGTGGAAAAGTGGTTTTCTATTAAAATTTACAATTATCTGCAAACAAAGGGAAATAACTCTCTTTTCAACATGTTTTAAAAATCTTACGTAGTTTGAGATAGTTACCTAAATGTGATATAAAGTTTATACTACAAGGTGTATTGTAATTGTATAAACACAGGTTAATCAATTAAACTATCAAAAGCTTAACATTTCATGTGAAAATGACAAAATCATAAAAAAACATGCATAAATAAAACAAGAGGCCTGTATCGCTCACCTGAATATATATTTAAAATAATTGGTATGAAGTAAAGATATAGCACTCCATGGTAGGTGTTGTAAGTACATATGAAATTTCAGAAAGATTCATCCAGCACACTCGCTGTTTATACAAAATCAAGTCCCTTTTGCCCAAGGATGCTCCAGACTAAATTAGGATATATATCCCTTAATCCCTATGGTAGAAGAAGGATTGTAATGGTTTTACCTCTATTTCCCCTATCGGACCCCGCCCCTCAGGTCCAAGGGGGGCCACACCCACCGTTTATACAAAATTGGTTCCCCTTCACCCAAGGATGCTCAACACCAAAAATGGCCCAAATCCTTTCATTCCTGCAGAAGAAGGATTTAAAAAAATAATTTGCTATGTTTCCCCTGTTGGGCCCATCCCCTCAGGCCCCTGGGGTGCCAGACCCAGTTTATACAAAATTGGTTCCCCTTCATCCAAGGATGTTTCAGACCAAATATGGAACAAATCCTTTCTTTCCTACAGAAGAAGAAGGATTTTAAAGAATTTTCTATGTTTCCCCTATTGGGCTCAGCCCTCAGGGGGGCCAGATCCACCTTTTATACAAAATTGGGTCCCCTTCACCCAAGGATGCTTCTTACCAAATATGGAACAAATCCTTTCATTCCTACAGAAGAATAATTTCAAAGAATTTGCTATATTACCCCTATTGGGCCCCGCTCTTTAGCCCCCATGGAGGCCAGACCCACCATTTATACAAAATTTGTTCCCCAAGGATGCTTTTTACCAAATTTGGTCAAAATCGGCTAAGTCGTTCATGATAAGTAGCGTTTTAAAGGAAAAGTTAGACGGACGGACGACAGACGACCAGGTGAGCTAAAAATTGTAAAAGTTGGACTCTGTTTGCCATGGTCTCAAAACACATGATATATCACAATGCAAAAAATTAATAGATGAAGAAAATTACAATGGCTTGAAAAGAGCAAAGCCAAATTTCATTTCCAGTAAGAACTGCACCAGTTCAACTAGTCACAATAAATAGCCATGCACATCACAATGATAGCCATGTTAGTCACAATGATAGCCATGTTAGTCTCAATGATAGCCGTATTAGTCACAATGATACTATACATAGCCGTATTATAAATTAGTCACAATGATAGCCATATTAGTCACAATGATAGCCGTGTTAGTCCCAATGATAGCCGTATTAGTCACAATGATAGCCTTATTAGTCCCAATGATAGCCGTATCAGTCTCAATGATAGCCGTGTTAGTCACAATGATAGCCGTATTAGTCACAATGATAGCCATGTTAGTGTCTGTTACAATAGACTTGTTGCATACCTGTCTAGACTCTCTAACTCACAAGTCTAGGCTGCGGATCAAAATGATTGAATATTTCGACCAGAGCTATTCGATTTATAACATAAGGTCGGACCCAGTAATCTGATGCTGCTTTCAGACGAGCCTTGACAAAGCCTTGCAAGGCCTGCATAAACATTTGCAGGTCCGCCAAGATTTATACCCGAAAATGTTACATTTAAAAACAGACAAACCAGTTGAAACGGATACCTTATCATAAGCTGGCCAATACAGGAAAATATTTCTCTATAAAAGCAGGAATTAATACCTTCCACTGGTAATACTGTATATATAATGCCAGCAAACATTCAGGCAACAATATAAAGCTAACTTTGTATACATAAACTGTATATCACTGTTATCGGTTGACGAAACATTCCGGGTGAAGTGAAATATACAATTTGGATGCATCGTTGTACAGGTGAACAAAACAAAAATCTCACTCAGTCATAGCTTGACAAAGGGACCAGTCGGTCTTAAAATATTGTGACACACTTAATGTGTACATTGTTTGTGTATAAAGTAAAACTTTGATATCATATATTTCTGATGAATATTATTGAATACATTTCCATACCTATATTTATGTCTACAAAGCTTTTTTCTATATTGGCCATATTTTCATGTAATATAACAACTGTAGTGCTCGTTTTGTGAGGACTTGAGGCTTCACAGTGTAGGGTCTTAAACCAATTTTCAGGTAGGAAATTTAATTAACACAGTAAATTCTAGTGTGTGGTCCGATTCCAATCCTTAGCATGGTCTTACCACAGTTAATCTTGCTTGTGGTCTTAATTTTATCCTTAGCATGGTTTACCACAGTGAAATTTGTCATATGGTCTTAATTAAATCCTCGGCATGGTCATACCACAGTGAAATCTGTCATGTGGTCATGGGTTCGAGGCCTAGGTGGGGCAGTTGCGAGGTACTGGCCACAGGTCAGTGTTTTTTCTGCAGGTACTCTGGCTTTCCTCCACCACCAAAACACAGCACGTCCTTAAATGACCATAGCTGTTAATAGGACACAAAACACAAATGAACCAAATCTTATTTGACCCTTACCATGGTCTTACCAGAGTGAAATCTTGCTTGTGACCTTAATTTAATCCTCAGCACAGGCTCATCACAGAAACATTATACTTTGTGACAATGGCAACAAAATTCTTCACAGAGAAAGTATCTTAAAAACAGCACTTTTCTTTTAAAAATAAACACTGACAATAAATACTCATTTAAATAATCTAAACAGGAAACACTTCCTTTAACAACTTCAAAATCTTCATTTGTTGGACAATTAAAATTGTCATCTTCTGTAACGAACATGATCTATAAATCATATTTTAATGTGAAGTAATAAACAGGGGGCGCCAACATATCCAAGTGTTCGTTATTTAGTAACAGAAGTTTTATAAAGACACACATAAATATTGGTGAATCAGATAATAAATTAATGAATAGAACACATGTAAGGTACCATTTAACTTTGGGAACGACAAACGCATCAAGTTTATACGATCATTATATATAGTCATTTTGAAAAATAATGTATGTATAAAATGCACAAATATGCATGTTACACATATTCAACAAGCATCACTGTCGTACTTTATATCACAATAGATCATGTCCATCAGCCTCTGTAGTCAATATCGTCTATCACATAGCGAGATATAGTGCCTGTTCACAGGGAACTCACTAATAAATATAACTCTTTGGATTTCTTTCCTTGAGCATCAGCCTAGCGTCTTGGGTTACCATGGCAATGTCCAGTTGGAATGTCATAATGGCGGCTGAGGTTCGTCGTCATCTTCGCAGCACTTACAGATCTTACACTTACAACAAAGTATGCATGGGGCTGCCAGGAGCAGAAAAGGGGAGGCAACCAGGAGCAGCACACCAAACCCAGCAAATATGCCCACGACCTGAAACAGAATGAGTTAATGTCTAGAACCTTCCAATCATCAATGTAAATTAGTAATTTTGCAAGGGTTGATCTACTGTATTTTCACCCTTTTTCGACTACTGTAATGAAGGTGGATTAATCTTTTATGCAAACAATAGTTAGCAAAATAATATGCATAATAATGAAATGTGAAGGTAATATTAACACTAGATGAAAACGGATTATTCTGGCAAAGGGCGAAAGTTTGATTGCGGGGAAATTTCCAGGAACGTAGTATTTGTATAGGCACTATTCTATCTTTTTCCTTTTTAAAATTTACTTGTCACACAATTTCATGAATGTTAGGAGAGATTATAAATACAAACTTAACACTTATCTAACACTACTGTTTTGTCCCCTCCGATTATAGTTCTAAATGTTAGGCCATCATAGCATTATTAGAGATGGCTTTTGAGATATATGTGGTGTTTGAATTTACCTGTGTCCTGTGCCAGATGACAGATGCTCTAGAGTGTCCTAGTTTGTTCTTACAGGGACCTTTGTCGTAATGTCTCAGCAGAAAATCATCCTGCAAATAGATGGTAAAGCTTTAATGGACATGTAAACTTTTAATCCATCCACGGCAGACAAGCTGAACGTTTGGAAGGTTTGGATACCAACATTGGGTCTTGTTCGCTAAGTAAAGTAAAATGTTTGGAAACACATATATATCCTCCACTCCAACTTTGACGGAAATGAAGCGAATGCAAAGTCTAACCACAGAAACAGATATAAATGTAAAGTCTCACCACAGAAATAGATATAAATGTAAAGTCTCACCACAGAGCTAGATATAAATGCAAAGTCTCACCACAGAATGCAAAGTCTCACCACAGAAATTGATATAAATGTAAAGTCTCACCACAGACATAGATATAAATGCAAAGGCTCATCACAGAAATAGATATAAATGTAAAGTATCACCACAGAAATAGATATGATTGTAAAGACTCACCACAGAAATAGATATAATGCAAAGTCTCACCACAGAGATAGATATAAATGCAAAGTCTCACCACAGAAACAGACATAAATGTAAAGTCTCACCACAGAAAAAGATATAATTGTAAAGTCTCACCACAGAAATAGATATAAATGCAAAGTCTCAAGACAGAAATAGATATAAATGTAATGTCTCACCACAGAAATAGATATAAATGCAAAGTCTCACCACAAAATAGATATAAATGTAAAGTCTCACCACAGACATAGATATAAATGCAAAGTCTCACCACAGAAATAGATATAAATGCAAAGTCTCATCACAGAAATAGATATAAATGTAAAGTCTCACCAAGATCTGACAGATCGAGATGGAGTAGGAGCAGAAAAATCTGACAGATCGAGAGGCCAGATGCATTAAATGCTTCTCTACCACGTTATATTGGTTTGAAAAGAGTTGCTCCTCTAGTAAGCACTCGACACACAAAAGGACCTCTATGGTGATAAATTGAGGGAAACATATAAAGAAATTCTTAAGAAAAAGGAGAAAAATGGATCATGAAATATATTGACAATAAGCGAGGTGGCAAATGAAATAAGGGGCAGTATATCGAAGTTTTACTGTAAACTATATGATGTAAATATGGTTGTTATCTTAAAACCAATTCTTCTGTTCATGAAAGTTTGGGTGGTTTTGATTGAATTAAGTATTAAGGGACCTCTGGTTAAATGACATATTCTGAAGAAAAGGCACTATCATGATTTTGAGGGGAAGAGTACTCAAGCACTGCCTCGAAAACTCAATCTAATGAGTAAATGAGTGTTATGGTTGGAGGGGAGGTAGAGAGAGGCGAGTTTAGCTGTACTAACATCAAGGGAGGCCAGGCAGTACCAGCAGAACACATGTTTACATCTCTTGCACATCATCTGGGCACAACCATCATTTCTCTCTATTGGCACATGACAGACTGGGCATCTTTTGATGCAGGCATCCTCTGCACTGCTGTAGGGTATTCTGTAACACAAATATTTGTCAATTTAATACATATCTATACCACAGTGGTATTCTTAAGTCACTTGTCTAAATGGATTACCACATTAAATAGTGGTATTTTGTAAGTTATTAGTCACCTGTATATACCACAGTAAATAGTGGTAGTCTGTTAACTCATTCACCCCTGAAGACATATTTGAACTTTTCCAATTTAAAGGTTGGAAAAGTTCATGAGGAAATTTCATGGGTAAATGAGTTAAACAGATGTTAGTCACCTGTATATACCACAAATAAGTTGACGTGTTGATTCTTTATAACTACAATTCTTGTGATATTATGATAGATTTATTGTCAAACAAGCCGAAATCAATGTGATGAAAAAGTAGGTTTTTAATGCAGGCTACAAATAGAAATATATTAAAAAAATCAGTCTTATTCCTCTTTTTTTTATAAAGAGCAAAGGTTGGGTGGAAATGTTTTAATATGTTTTGGAAGGAAATACTAAATTCCTTTCACGGTAGTCCGAGTTAATAGAGCACTGAAAAAAGTGACCTACCCAGCATCCTCCAGTCTTCCACTAAGCATCATCTCATCACAGGTTTTGGTCGTGTGCCATCCCGACTTACAAATGGAGCAGAACTTCAGTCCACACTGCAAGTAAACAAGGATAACATTACACAATGGAACTTCAGTCCACACTGCAAGTAAACAATGATTACATTACACGATGGAACTTCAGTCCACACTGCAAGTAAACAATCGTTACATTACACAATGGAACTTCAGTCCACACTGCAAGTAAACAATCGTTACATTATACAATGGAACTTCAGTCCACACTGCAAGTAAACAAAGATTACATTACACGATGGAACTTCAGTCCACACTGCAAGTAATCAACGATAACCTTACACAATGGAACTTCAGTCCACACTGCAAGTAATCAACGATAACATTACACAATGGGACTTCAGTCCACACTGCAAGTAATCAACGATAACCTTACACAATGGAACTTCAGTCCACACTGCAAGTAAACAACCATAACATTACATGATGGAACTTCAGTCCACACTGCAAGTAAACAACGATAACATTACACGATGTAACTTCGGTCCACACTGCAAGTAATCAACGATAACATTGCACGATGTAACTTCAGTCCACACTGCAAGTAATCAACGATAACATTACACAATGGGACTTCAGTCCACACTGCAAGTAATCAACGATAACCTTACACAATGGAACTTCAGTCCACACTGCAAGTAAACAAAGATTACATTACACGATGGAACTTCAGTCCACACTGCAAGTAAACAACGATAACATTACACGATGTAACTTCAGTCCACACTGCAAGTAATCAACGATTACATAACACGATGTAACTTCAGTCCACACTGCAAGTAAACAATGATTACATTACATAATGGAGCTTCAGTCCACACTGCACAATGGAACTTCAGTCCACACTGCAAGTAAACAAAGATTACATTACACGATGGAACTTCAGTCCACACTGCAAGTAATCAACGATTACATAACACGATGTAACTTCAGTCCACACTGCAAGTAATCAACGATTACATAACACGATGTAACTTCAGTCCACACTGCAAGTAAACAATGATTACATTACACAATGGAACTTCAGTCCACACTGCAATTAAACAACGATTACATTACACAATGGAACTGCAGTCCACACTGCAAGTAAACAACGATTACATTACACAATGGAACTTCAGTCCACACTGCAAGTAATCAACGATTACATAACACGATGTAACTTCAGTCCACACTGCAAGTAATCAACGATTACATAACACGATGTAACTTCAGTCCACACTGCAAGTAAACAATGATTACATTACACGATGTAACTTCAGTCCACACTGCAAGTAACCAACGATAACATTACACAATGGAACTTCAGTCCACACTGCAGGTAAACAACGATTACAAATAAAACATGATGGAACTTCAGTCCACACTGCAAGTAATCAACGATAACATTACACAATGGGACTTCAGTCCACACTGCAAGTAATCAACGATAACATTACACAATGTAACTTCAGTCCACACTGCAAGTAATCAACGATAACATTACACAATGGGACTTCAGTCCACACTGCAAGTAATCAACGATAACATTACACAATGGGACTTCAGTCCACACTGCAAGTAATCAACGATAACATTACACAATGGGACTTCAGTCCACACTGCAAGTAATCAACGATAACATTACACAATGGGACTTCAGTCCACACTGCAAGTAATCAACGATAACATTACACAATGTAACTTCAGTCCACACTGCAAGTAATCAACGATTACATAACACGATGTAACTTCAGTCCACACTGCAAGTAAACAATGATTACATTACATAATGGAGCTTCAGTCCACACTGCACAATGGAACTTCAGTCCACACTGCAAGTAAACAACGATTACAATACACGATGGAACTTCAGTCCACACTGCAAGTAATCAACGATAACATTACACAATGGGACTTCAGTCCACACTGCAAGTAATCAACGATAACATTACACAATGGGACTTCAGTCCACACTGCAAGTAATCAACGATAACATTGCACGATGTAACTTCAGTCCACACTGCAAGTAATCAACGATAACATTACACAATGGGACTTCAGTCCACACTGCAAGTAATCAACGATAACCTTACACAATGGAACTTCAGTCCACACTGCAAGTAATCAACGATAACCTTACACAATGGAACTTCAGTCCACACTGCAAGTAAACAATCGTTACATTATACAATGGAACTTCAGTCCACACTGCAAGTAAACAACGATAACATTACACGATGTAACTTCAGTCCACACTGCAAGTAATCAACGATTACATAACACGATGTAACTTCAGTCCACACTGCAAGTAAACAATGATTACACTACACGATGGAACTTCAGTCCACACTGCAAGTAATCAACGATTACATTACACGATGTAACTTCAGTCCACACTGCAAGTAAACAATGATTACATTACATAATGGAGCTTCAGTCCACACTGCACAATGGAACTTCAGTCCACACTGCAAGTAAACAACGATTACAAATAAAACATGATGGAACTTCAGTCCACACCGCAAGAAAACAACAATTACATAACACAACGAAACTTCAGCCAAACTGCAAGTAAACAACATTTATTTCAACTCATTCACTCCTAAAGTCACATTTGAACTTACCAAATCAAAGACCGGGTAAGTCCAGTTTAATTATGTAGGGGTGAATGAGTTAAAACAAAAGAAGTTTAGTCCAAACTGCAATTAAATCACATTTATATTAAAAACAAGAGGCGAAGAACTGTTAACTGGATATTTCAGCAATGGTGGCAATATCTGTTCATTAATAGTAATACACGTATTACAAATGTCTCCCCCTTTGGCCTTTTTGTATATGACATTTAATTCCAATGTCCTGAGAATTCTTCAGAGCAAATTTGGTTGAAACATGATCAGCTGGTCAGGTAGCAGTGTACAGTAGAGGGTTGTGGCCATGGGTGATATTTTTGTTAAATGGCTAACCCCTGTATAATGATATGTAAAAAAAATATAAAAATAAAACTGTACTAAAATTGGTATAAGCATGATGAAGTGGGCTATGTGAGCTTCACATTTGTAAAAAAGAAAGATTTCTTTGGTTCGAGAATAAAATTTTGGCCATAATACGAAAGGGTGCGTACACATGAAAAGATAGCTTTACAGGAGGTAAAATTTTGACAACAGCACACGACGCAAAATTGCAAAAAAGTTTTACAATTTTACTGGGACCCAGATAATTGTGCAACCAGGAAGGTAATCTTTAATTTCAGACAGAGCTTAGGAAAAAAATTACTACTTGCGGGGGTCAAATTTTGGGTTAAAAATAGCATTTTTTGGCATTTTTTGGTAATTTTTGATGTGGTTACCATGGTTTTCACACAAGTGACATACATAGAAAAAAGAGGTTTATACACTTCTCAGTGCTTTATATGTATTTGTAAATGTAATGCAGTTTACAAATATATATACATGTATACATGTGTTGTGTAGGGTAAATCCGCTGTGTTTACATTTCCTCGACATGCGCCTTGTTTATCAGAGTCGGGCCATTTCTACTGTATTCTGCTACCTCAGGAGGAAAAGCAGTGTTATATCATTCATGCCCAATTTACCCTTTTAAGGGTATTGTCTTGAGCCCTAAGGGGAGGTATGTAAAATCTTGTCTTTAACAAAACATTTATTTTCAAGGTTGCAAGGATCGCAAAGATGCTTCGCAGAAAATTTGGTTGAGATAATAGTAAATATGTGTATTTGGTTATGTACCCAGGGCCATTGGACAAGTCCCTAGGGGCAGGGCAATCCTAGTTAGCATCAGAGTAGTTTATACAATGTTAAATCCTCTCTAGCCCAGGGAGGCACCTAACCTTCACAATTTGATGTAAATTCCTTTACTAGAAGAACTTACAAGATTAACCTTTATTAAATTAATCAAAATATACAAATTTTTAGTTTACTCTGGAAGTAATTTGTAAATTTGAGCACAGGTAAGTAATGGTACCAGAAGAATAAAGTACCGGCCGGCAATCCTTGAATTACAGATTCAAAGTTACATGTTGTTGTGGTGAATTGGTGAATTATACCAAACATAAAATACAAAAGGTACCACAATAATAATGAAAGAGTGACATTTGGTGAGCAAGTGAAACTTAAGAACCGTCACCTATGGGCTAACTAATACCCCCCGCATTCCAGCTGCTTGTTGGCCCTGTAGGGGCTAAATAAACAAGGGAAAAAAATATATAGAAAGATCAAGGGTCATGAAAAAGTTTAACCTCAGATGTTGTATCGACAGACCGATGGAAAAAAACCAACACCACTACTGTGACCTTTGACTCAATGACCTCGGAATTTTGTCACAATGTAGCTTGCATCAATGCTACATTTACTCTAAGGTATGCGTATACAAAGTACCTACCATTTCTGCCATAATTAGCCATTTCAGTAACATAATGCATCTGTGACCTTTGACCTCATGACCTTGGAAGTTTGTCACAATATGGCTATGATACTCTAATGTATAGGTGTATACAAAATACCTCCTTTTTCTGAGATAATTAGCCATTTCAGTAACGTAATTCATTCTCGACCTTTGACCTCTGACCCCACAACCTGTCAGTAGAGTAGATTGCATTAATGCCTACAATATTTTAATGTATATGTGAAAACAAAATACCTTCCGTTTCCAAGATATTAAGCCATTTCAGTAACGTAATGCATTCTTGACCTTTGACCCCAAGACCTCGGAAATTTTTCAGTGGAATACGTTTCAGTAATCCCTACAATATTCCAATGTATATGTGTATACAAAATACCTACCGTTTCCGAGATAATTAGCCATTTCAGTCACGTAATGAACCTTCTACAGAAGTCAAGGGCCATAACACTGGTAAATATTGAAGGAACGTAATGGCGTTCTTGATAGCGTTAATAAAACATATCTTTATACATGTAGTAAACAGAGACAATATGTATTCCGAAATACAAAATATCAAAGTAATTGACACATGCACAAAGTGTGGTAAAAATATTATTGTAACTGTTCCTTTTACAGCGATCAAA